GGAAAATCGACCGCAAGTTGCAGTTTTTTTTGTCGATGCGATTCTGCATATCTAAAGATTGCAGTATACCACAATATAATTTAAATAATTATTAAAATAAATATTTATAATTAATTGAGATTGAAATTGCATTAAGATATATTAAATATTGCTCTTATGTTTGCAAAGCAAAGTGTCTTTCAGCAGTACACTTGCTGAAATTTTCATTTTTGCTAAGGATACATTTACTTGAAGAAATTAAAAGAAATATGCTAGGCCGATTCAATACAGTGCAGTATTTGTCTATGCTCTTTCTTTGTTGATAGAAAGTTCTGTAATGTTTTTGTTTTTTTGGTTGAGAAAATGGATTTCATTAACATATCAAGATCACAATACAAGATGTGACAGCGTTCATATAAGATGGCCTCATTAAAACCTTTGAGGAAAACCCAAGAGGATAAAACCTCAGATGAGGAAAGAGTATCACACACGCCATAGACTATACAGAGGAGTCATACAAAACTAAAACTGGTAGGACAGCTATCATAGAGATAGTCCCATATATAATCATAAGGGTGGCACTTCAAACCAAAAAGCAAGATCCTCTTGACTAAGACCATAATGTACAATACAATCGGCAACCCCATTAGTAGTCCGGAGAACATAGTAAACAAAAAAGATGGCACAAAAGCCAGAATACAACGAACATCCTCCACCAAACCCCTGTCTTGCTGAACATTGTGATTTGCAACTGCAAGTTGGTTTTGCATTTGCTTTCATGACTTGGATGTCTTTTACGAGTCTTTTTGGACTTTGATATTTGGTTGTAGGAATATTGATGGCAAGATACCCACATGTGGTATATCGCAATTTGTTGGTCAGTTCATGGTTTGTCTTTTAACATACCGCAATATGTCGGGTCGGTTCACGATTTAATTGAAAGTTGCGGGAACTGAATCGCAACCACCCTAACTTAAAGATATACTTTGGAGCATGTCATTGATGCACATCTTCTCTGATTCGAGCTCTCCGGCGGATTTTCTCGTCAGAGAGAGAAGAGGTGATCGAAGCTCAGATGACGATAAGGTGGCCGACATGTTAAGTGGCTAAATTTCTCTTGTAGGAGTTGGTGGCGATGGTGGCGTTTTTTAAGAAGGAATTGGAAAAATACAACTCCAACCATGCTCCATATCCACCTTCTAAAGTAGTGGCTCCCTATAATTTAATACTGCTTTATTTAATGAGTATTTCAAACCTTTAATTAATGCTAACTATTTTTTATATAATTTAAAAAAAAAATAAAGATGGACCAATTAAAAAAGAGTTATATCATTTATGACTCTCTAAACTAGATAACATGATTGAAGTTTAAATTTTAAAGAGAGCTTCTAAAATAACTTTTATATGTTTTTAGCTAAAATTTAACTAAAAAATAGAGAGCATGATTGTGGATGCTCTTAGGGAGCCTATTGTACTAGCATCTTTTCTCTAACCTTCTCCTTTTTTTGTTTGACATGTGTCATTCTCTTTGCACTTAAAACAATATAATTAATATATTATACAAGTAAACTTTTGCTTTCCAAGTTTACCCTTATTAAATTTATTAAATTTATCCAAAAAAAAATTCACAACTTTCTTACCATCTTATTAATTTTTTTTAAACGTCAATTATTTTTTAAAAGAAAATGTATGCTTTTTTCAAAAAAGAGGAAATGTCCCCTTTTTTAAAACACAGAGTTTGTTTTTTTTTTTTATCTAAAACCCTTTGTGTTAAAAAAAAATTAAAAAAAATAAAAGGAGACATTTCCTCTTAAAAGCATATATTTCTTTAAAAAAAAATTAATTTACGTTAAAAAAAATTAAAAAGATAATAAGAAAGTTGTGAATTTTTGTTGGATAAATTGTATACATTTAATAAGGATAAACTTGGAAACAAAAGTTAACTTGTATAATATATTAATAGCATTGTTTAAGTGCAAGGAGAATGACATATGTCAAGCAAAAAAGAGAGAAGGTCCAAAGGAGAAGGTTAGAGAGAAGGTTGCTAACATTCTTCATAACTTATTCCCAATAGTATAATTTGTTTGGATTAGAAAGATAGACCAAATAATTCTTCATTTAGTGCTACTTTTATTTCTAATTTTGAGAGTGATCGTAAGTTCAAAATCTCACCTCAAATTGATAAAAAGTGAGAGATAGAGCAATATCTTAGACAAAAATCTTGCACAATTTGTCACGAAAAATATCTTGGGTTGTCTCCCTTTCATGGGCCCAAGAAAATTAGATAGAAATAGAATGGCAGAAAGAAAATGTTGTTGGAACCCTGGCCCCCCCCCCACCTTGAGAACCCAAAAAAAAAAAAAAAAAAAAAAAAAAAAAAAAAAAAAAAAAAAAAATAATACTCTAAGCCGATGACACACTGTCATGTCGAAAGGTAAGTTTGCTTTAGTCATTGTGCCACATGAGAAAAAAAGGAAAAGATACAATCCTCCTCGGGACCATAGGTCGGAATAAAAAAAAAAAAAAAAAAAAAAAAAAAAAAAAAAAAAAAAAAAAAAAAAAAAAAAAAAAAAAAAAAAAAAAAAAAAAAAAAAAAAAAAAAAAAAAAAAAAAAAAAAAAAAAAAAAAAAAAAAAAAAAAAAAAAAAAAAAAAAAAAAAAAAAAAAAAAAAAAAAAAAAAAAAAAAAAAAAAAAAAAAAAAAAAAAAAAAAAAAAAAAAAAAAAAAAAAAAAAAAAAAAAAAAAAAAAAAAAAAAAAAAAAAAAAAAAAAAAAAAAAAAAAAAAAAAAAAAAAAAAAAAAAAAAAAAAAAAAAAAAAAAAAAAAAAAAAAAAAAAAAAAAAAAAAAAAAAAAAAAAAAAAAAAAAAAAAAAAAAAAAAAAAAAAAAAAAAAAAAAAAAAAAAATACTATTTTTTGAGAATTCGGGTAAGTCCAACTTTGATGACTGGCTCGTTTGGGACTGCTTCTCTAGGAAGCACTTCTACGTATAAGCGCTTCTACCAAAAGCGCTTTTATTATAAAGAAGTTGAAATTTTCATAAAAATTCAAAGTGCTTCTGGGAAAGCACTTGAGAGTGCTTTCTAAAGAAGCACATGGCAGGTGCTTTTCTAGAAAGCGCTTCTATAGCCCAAAAACACTTTTAAACTTTTCTGCCAAACGCTGTCAGAAGCGCTTTTGGTTGTCAGAAAGCACTTTTAACTGTTCCAAAAGCACTCCAAATCGAGCCCAACATCTTCATATTTGTTGTTATTAATCTAATTTTTTTTTTTTTTTTTTTTTTTTTTTTTTTTTTTTAAATTTTTTTTTTTTTTTTTTTTTTTTTTATAATCCAAAACGCTGTCTATCTCTTATGCGTTTGGTGTCATTGCTTTTTTATTTTTATTTTTTGATGTTTACTTCTTAATTTTTTAATTTTTTTAAGAGCTAACATCATTTTATCCCCAAAGGTTCGGGGTCATTCTTGAAATGGGCCATGGAGCTTCAATTTTGTCAATTTATGCCCTAACGTTTTAAAATTCAACAAATGTACACGTTTCGTCAAAAGTAGAATCCACATTTTAGCTTAGCTATAATTAAGTATTAAGAAATAATATTTTTTTTATATTTAAATTTTTGACAAATATTAAAATTAAAATAAACACACACACACACACACACACATATATATATATATATCTCTCAACAGTCCTATCTCTGTATCAACCCTCACTCCATTTCAAGAATGAACACAAACCTTCAAAGGGTAAAATGAGGGATTTTTATAGAAATGTCACATGAACTTATACATGAGTTTCCATTTGTCACCTTAAAGAAAAATTAAAGAGAAATGTCACCTTAATTTTTCAAAATCCATGATTTGTTATCTGACTTTAACGCCATCCAATTTTGAAGGGCATTTTAGTCCTTCTATTTTAAAGGAAAAAATAAAAAAAGAAGGGTGTTGTTACCAAGCCCCCAATCTTACAAAATGAAATCTGTTGTCCCCATTTTTCTTGTCTCATCCCTGTCCCTTCGTTACTTTTTTGACACATTTCCACACTACCCTAAACACTAAGGAAAAAAAAGTTAATCCAGCCCTTTTCTCCAAAGTCACCCCCAATCTCTTCCTCTCCTCTCCCATTGCTGATGCAACTTTTTGAACACCTAAAAGAGTATCCAAAAATTACAAATTAAATTACTCGCAAACGCACAAATCAACAATAATATAGAGATATGCAAGTACAAGGTCGAACCCACAAGGACTAATAAAAAAACCTTAATTAATTAATCACACTAAACCCAATGAAACGAACGATTGATTGATTTGAGTGATGAATTAAGGAAAACTTAAATTGCAAGAATTAAAATAAAGAAAAATTAAACAAATAGAAAAATATAGGTTTCAAAGTGATGAAGATCTAAGGTTATGAATTCACCAATGACAATCCTATTTCCTTTTTTTAGAACCAATTACTATCCAATTATGATGCTATTGAGGCCCAAAAAATCTCAAGCTGGGCCCAAATATATTTTCGACCCAATACAACGCCAAGTGGAAAATCCTTATTTAAGCAACATGTTACGCTACAAGCTTAAGTGGGCCCAAGCCACGCGAATGCCTGGGGTTTGCTGAGCGGGTTGTGGTATGGATGGTTACGAGTATTCACAAGGCCCATTGATGGTCCAAGGAGTGGAAGTTTTGGGCTACTTGAGAGCATCAAAACTCAAGCCCATTCCTTGAGGTCCAAACATATGGGTAAGCTTGAGAGAAAACCCAATAGTCAATCACCTTAAGAAAAGGCCCAAACATCTTAGAAAAATATCCAATAGCCATAGCCCATAAAAAATCCCACATCAGCCAAAGCTTCCAGCAATCTGAGGAAATCAAAGGGAACTCACAAACCGCTGGAAACAGAACAGCCCAGCCCAGCACCTTATAAATATCCAATGTCGTGCATCTTTGTTAAAACCAGATCACAGCCAAACCACCAAAACCAAACAAACCCATGTGCTAATCACCTTTTTGACCAAGCACCCTTACACATGGAGAAGTCCAGCTGTTTGAGGACTTTGGAACCCCGAAAAGCTGTGTGCCTATGGGTTCAGGCTAAGGAAATTTCACCAAACAAGGTGGAATGGAAGAAAGTGAAGAAATTTGGAGAGGATGACTTGACAAAATTAAGGTTTTCAGCGCCTATAAAAGGAGCTACTTTCTTCCCAGCAAAACAAGACACAACAAACAGATCGAAGGCAAGCATTCCCTTTGGAATCCCAGCAAAATAAGACACAACAAATATTTATAATTAATTGAGATTGAAATTTCATTAAGAGATATTAAATATTGCTCTTATGTTTGCAAAGAAAAGTGCCTTTCAGCAGTACACTTGCTGAAATTTTCTTTTTTGCTAAGGATACATTTACTTGAAGAAATTAAAAGAAATATGCTAGGCCGATTCAATACAGTGCAGTATTTGTCTATGCTCTTTCTTTGTTAATAGAAAGTTCTGTAATGTTTTTGTTTTTTTGTTGAGAAAATGGATTTCATTAACACATCAAGATCACAATACAAGATGTGACAGCGTTCATATAAGATGGCCTCATTAAAACCTTTGAGGAGAACCCAAGAGGATAAAACCTCAGAGGAGAAAAGAGTATCACACACGCCATAGACTATACAAAGGAGTCATACAAAACTAAAACTGGCAGGACAGCTATCATAGAGACAGTCCCATATATAATCATAAGGGTGGCACATCAAACCAAAAAGCAAGATCCTCTTGACTAAGACCATAATGTGCAATACAATCGGCAACCCCATTAGTAGTCCGGAGAACATAGTGAACAAAAAAAGATGGCACAAAAGCCATAATACAACGAACATCCTCCACCAAACCCCCCGTCTTGCTGAACATTTGTGATTTGCAACTGCAAGTTGGTTTTGCATTTGCTTTCATGACTTGGATGTCTTTTACGAGTCTTTTTGGACTTTGATATTTGGTTTGTAGGAATATTGACGGAAAGATACCCACATGTAGTATATTGCAATTTGTTGGTCGGTTCATGGTTTGTCTTCTTAACATACCGCAATATGTCGGTCAGTTCACGATTTAATTGAAAAGTTGCGGGAACTAAATCGCAACCACCCTAACTTAAAGATATACTTTAGAGCATGTCATTGATGCACATATTCTCTGATTCGAGCTCTCCGGCGGATTTTTTCGTCAGAGAGAGAAGAGGTGGTCGAAGCTTAGATAACGATAAGGTGGCCGACATGTTAAGTGGCTAAATTTCTCTTGTAGGAGTTGGTGGCGATGGTGGCGTTTTTTTAAGAAGGAATTGGAAAAATACAACTCCAACCATGCTCCATATCCACCTTCTAAAGTAGTGGCTCCCTATAATTTAATACTAGGAGTGGCATTTTAAACTGAAAAACTGAAAAACCGCAAAAACCAACCGACAATTTACCGCAATAAAATCGCAATCGCGGTAAACCGAACTGCATTTGCAGTATTAAGAACCGAACCGCATTTGCGGTTGCAGTTGCGGTATTTGATTTTCAAAACTTGCGGTTACCGCAAACCGCAAAGTATAGCCGCACGGATGATGAGGTTGAATTCTACAAGGAAATGGAACATATGACAACTTGTAAGTAATTAGTTTATTTGTGCTAATGTTATTTATGCTTCTTCTTATAATAAAATGTACTAAACTATGTTGTTTTATTTGTAGATAACATTGGTGCTCAAACAACACAACGGGGTTCTTCAAATCCACTCACCACCAACACTTGAGTTTGTAACTTTAGTTTGTAACAATGGTGCATTGCATTTTCCTTTTAGTTTGTAACTTTAATTAACTTAGAATTGGATTTTTCTTTTTGATTGTAACTTTAATTCATTTTGCTTTGCATTTTCCTTTTGGTTTATAACTTTAAAAGAATGCTTGGAATTGTAACTTAAATTTTCTTAGGTTCTGAATGCTTGAGAAATTAAGGAGATTGTGAATTTATATATGTTTGAGAAATTGAGGTAGTGTATTTATTTATTTAGGTTGTGAATTTATATTTTTGTGAATGCTTGAGAACTTGCGGTTTTAAACCTCTAATTCGCGGTAACCGACCGCATTTTGCGGTTTCAAAAATCACCAAACCGCAAATAGTCGGTCGGTTTGCGGTTTGAGTAAAAATTCGCGGTTACTGAACCGCAACCACCCCCATTTAATATTGCTTTATTTAATGAGTATTTCAAACCTTTAATTAATGCTAACTATTTTTTATATAATTTAAAAAAAAAATAAAGATGGACCAATAAAAAAAGAGTTATATCATTTATGACTCTCTAAACTAGATAACACGATTGAAGTTTAAATTTTATAGAGAGCTTTTAAAATAACTTTTATATGTTTTTAGCTAAAATTTAACTAAAAAATAGAGAGCATGATTGTGGATGCTCCTATGGAGCCTATTGTGCTAGCAACCTTTTCTTTAACCTTCTCCCTTGGACCTTATCTTTTTTTTTGTTTGACATGTGTCATTCTCTTTGCACTTAAAACAATATCATTAATATATTATACAAGTAAACTTTTGCTTTCCAAGTTTACCCTTATTAAATTTATTAAATTTATCCAAAAAAAAATTCACAACTTCCGTACCATCTTATTAATTTTTTTTAAACGTCAATTATTTTTTTAAAGAAAATGTATGCTTTTTTCAAAAAAGAGGAAATGTCCCCTTTTTTAAAACACAGAGGGTTTTTTTTTTCCTATCTAAACCCTTTGTGTTAAAAAAAAAATTAAAAAAAATAAAAGGAGACATTTCCTCTTAAAAGCATATATTTTCTTTTTAAAAAAAATAATTTATGTTAGAAAAAAATTAAAAAGATAATAAGAAAGTTGTGAATTTTTGTTGGATAAATTGTATACATTTAATAAGGATAAACTTGGAAACAAAAGTTAACTTGTATAATATATTAATAGCATTGTTTTAAGTGCAAGGAGAATGACATATGTCAAGCAAAAAAGGGAGAAGGTCCAAAGGAGAAGGTTAGAGAGAAGGTTGCTAACATTCCTCATAACTTATTCCCAATAAGTATAATTTGTTTGGATTAGAAAGATGGACCAAATAATTCTTCATTTAGTGCTACTTTTATTTCTAATTTTGAGAGTGATCGTAAGTTCAAATCTCCACCTCAAATTGATAAAAAAGTGAGAGATAGAGCAATATCTTAGACAAAAATCTTGCACAATTTGTCACGAAAAATATCTTGGGTTGTCTCCCTTTCATGGGCCCAAGAAAATTAGATAGAAATAGAATGGTCAGAAGAAAATGAAACTCTTGAGAAACCCCAAAAAAAAAAAAAAAAAAAAAAAAAAAAAAAAAAATACTCTAAGCCGATGACACACTGTCATGTCGAAAGGTAAGTTGCTTTAGTCATTGTGCCACATGAGAAAAAAAGGAAAAGATACAAGCCCCGTTTGGGATTGCTTTTTTTCGTCAAAAACCTGCTTCACTTTAAAGTTAAGCAGTTTTAGGTGTTTAGTAAAAATAAAATATCTCGATTATTTTAAAAGCAGTGGCCTTTTGATAGCAGCTTTTAAAAGCAGGCTATGAGTTGCTTTTCAAAGCTGCTTTCAAAAGAAGCAGAGACGAACCTTTAATGAATTTTTTTAATTCCCAAAATACCATCATTTATTTTAAAAAATAACACCACCTCCACTTCCACATCCAACTCTACCTCCACAACCACCGCCATCGCTGCCACCACCACCACCACCACCACCACCAACAACTCCACCTTCACTTCCACCTCCACCACAACCACCACCACCAACTCCACCTTCACCTCCACCACCACCACCACCACCATGCTGCCACCTCCACCACCATGCTGTCACCACCACCACCTCCACTCCATCACTACCACTACTACCACATGATTACTACATAACACTTTTAACATCATGTTTATTTTAGTCATTATTCACAGTTACAACAATTTTATATTAAAACTTACCAAACGGTTTTGACATTGCTTTTTGTACTAATAGCACTTTAAAAATATTGTTTACCAAACACGGAGCTGCTTTACTTTACAGCTAATTATTTTCAAAGCACAACAGAAACAACTTTTTTTAAAAGTGACAGCAATCCCAAACTGGGCCACAATCCTCAGCATTCAGGACCCAAATAGGGTCGGTTTATGTTTTTCAGTGATGCATGTAGGATAAACATTATTACACACGTTTAAATAAAAGTTCAAACCCCTAGAGCCCCTCTCTCCCAATAAGGGCTAAAATCCAATCAACAACCAGACAATATTGCCTGGACCTAACTCAAAGCATAGTGGTGCCTCTCTTATTTGAGCAAAGACCGAAAGAGAGTCTGACGTAAAAACTCATATAATTGGCACTGGATCAATAAAATGTGAAGCAATCTTATCCTTCACCAGTTTACCAACACGCGTGTAGCCATCGTCACCTTTGTAAAGGAGATCTATCACTTTTGTTAAATTAAGAACTCTCATTAGGACAGCCATTGGCGCTGCAGTTGGTCTGAGAAACTCCCCGTTTATGTCCTTCCACAGATCCACCACTTGCTTGTTCAAAGCATCAAGTGCCTCTTGCTCCGACACCGCATATTGCTTCATGTAGCAATCAATACTACAGGCAATATGGCCTCTCTCTTTCTCAAACTGCATAAATTCGGTAATATTATAGAAAATCAGATTGTCATTCTTACTACTAGTATTACTAACACCGATGTTGTTTCCAACTTAACCACCAACAAAGTTTAGTGTGAGTTTTTATCACCAAAGACCATGATGCTATTAGTTGTGGAACCACTTATTATATATAGTATTTTATTTTGTCAAATTTTTGATGTGAAACTTCGAATTTTAAACATACTTACCTAATCTAGCATGACAATAATATTTTATACCTTGCTTGTGACAATATCATCCATGAACCTACAAATGGTCGAGGAAGCTCTAACAATTTTTGCGTCACTGAACAGCCACTCAAATGTCTCCTTCGTTACAATATCTCCCAAGCCAAGTAAGGATACAGTTGAAAGCATGGCGTAACCAGAAGAAACTATTGCAGCAGGTAGATACTCCTCCATGGTTGGGGTGTATCCTTCATTGAACCATCTGGCCTCCTCAAAGTAAGCTCGGGCTACAGCTTTCAACTGGAGGGGACATAACGTTATAGCTAGATAATGTGGAAGAAAATAATTTAAATATATTATATACATACAGATTCCTTTGCATAATAAACTCGGTATGATCTTCCATCCTTTGCAATCTCTTCCTCAATTTCATCGACAACATTCAAAAGGGTACGATAAAATATTTGCATATAGTCTGGGAGTTCATCAATGCAACTCATATCCCACCTGAAAATTTGATAAACCTTGTAAGTTGGCTTATTTAGGAGCACTTTCTGCAATTACAATAAGTCAGCTCTAATTATTAAAAAGAAAATTATGATTTCAAAGTAGTACCTCTCAATTGCTGCAGTAAAGATCTCAAGTTCTTCAAACGTAGCATATGCGTCGTAGATATCATCCATCACTGATACCAGCGCAATCACTTTTGTAAGAAATTTTCTTGCTTCGACGTATTGGGGTTCAAAGTATACTCCGACTACCCAAAAGTACAACTCCACGATCCTATCTCTTGCGAAAGGCAGCTTCTTTTCAAAGCCTACTTCTTTCCACCACCTAATGAGCAATAACATTAGCTGTATGTGTAACTTGAGTATATATGCTCACATTTACAATTAAAAGAGAGACTTACCTATTAATCTCACTGAGCTCCTTTTTGTGCAAAGACTGAACAAGATTGAAATCTAACTTTGCAAGTTTCAACAAAGCTTCATTGTGTGAAGCTTCATCTTGGTAGATTGACATGTAACGCCTGGCACATACCCTTTCTAGATCTTTTCGCAAAGGTCTCTCCAGGGCTTCAGTGATTTGTTCTGCATGTTCGTAGCTTACATGAGCTTTTGCAGCAGAGTCAAGGTGAGTGGTGGTGAAAGCAAGAGCTTCATCTAGTATTTCTTCTTCCCGTACGCCCAGATGCCCGGCTTCATAAAGGCTTAGCATCCCCGGAACATCGGCAATTAAGCATTCCTTGAAGCTGCCATTTTCGTCTTTGAACTTGTTGAACACATCTGCTTGATTGATATAAAAATGAACAGGCATCAGTTGGCCAAAATCAGTCACAGTACACTCCACTACATTATAATTTATTGATTAACTTACCACATGAAACCTTGTATCCATGTTGTCTTAGTAGCCGGAAACCAAGAGCAACGTTGTATAGATCTCCATCATCACTAAAGTCATGGTCGCGAAATGCAGCATGCATACGCTCCAATGCTTCTTCAATTTCACTTTCAAAATGGTATGCCACGCCAAGGCGCTGGATTGCATCAATAAACTTGAGCTGATGTGAAAAGTCACTTGCACTAGTTGTGAATACTTCCCTTCTCACTACTTCTTTCAGGTTGTCAACTTCTTGTTGGTTCCGGGCATTTGTTATCTGCGGCCAGTAATTAATTAAATAAGCAAAACACGAGTGAAATAATTTTTTTGAGAAAAATTAACAGGAAATATAATGATTTGCATGAGATTACAATGTCTTGGGAATCATAGTTGAGAAACCGATCACCCCAAATGCTTGGTGGGAAGTTTGCTGTCCGCCGAATAATTTCAGGCTTGGCATTTGGTGATTGAGCTGCTGCACAAACTTGGATAGACATGTTTTAATGTTTTTTTTAGTACTGTTTTGTTTTCTATATGCTTAGAGCTTTGCTATGAAAAACATGAATTGTAGACTCATGTATATATAGGCAAGGGTTGGGATATAAGATTATTGCAAAGCAACAATAGAATCGTGCACAGCAGGTAGAATTTCCAAATCAATCATTTCCATGGTACCCCCTTTCACTATTTTTAGTGTAGGATACACACTTTTTTAACCCTTAGATGAAATCGGTTTTAATGGCTAGGATGACATTGAAAAAGAAATCAACACCCTCTTAAACATGATTAATAAGTAATATATTCTCTCTCCTCTCTCCTCATAAATTTCATTTGTTTTTTTTAAACCATAAATATCAATTGTTTTTTTTTCTTTTTAATCGCTTATTGGAGCTGTTATTTTTTGGTCGGTGTTGCCCCTATTAGTCTTTTGGTTTTTACTAGCCGTTTCAGTTCTCAAACAAAAGAAATATATATATTCCTTAAAGTCCATCTCATGAATTCCGGACAATCCAGTTGTGAAAGATGCTGAGAGCGATCGAAAGCTAAACAACAAAGAGTGAAAGGTAGGGCAGATCAAGGGGATTGAAAACTTGTTCATTAAAAGAAAATAGAATTACTATTGTGTATTTGGCTGGGGGTGTGAGAGCAGGGCATCATCTTCATCGTTTGCAGAAGGAAGGCCACAAGAAGGATTTTCACAGGAAAATAGAAATGAAAAAAAGAAGAATGATATTAAAGAGAGTGAGAGAGGAAACACCGGAGAGAGGAGAGAGAAGAAAAAACCAGACAAGTTATTAACTATTGATATTCCCAATGCACGTTAATTGAAAGAAATAAAAACCAAATTGTCATTAATCTCAGCCATTGAAAGTGCCTTAATCTAACGGCTTAGAATGTGTGTCAAAATTTGTGTTAAAAAATGTGTTTCTCAATCTCATATATATATATATATATATATATATAATTTTTTTCCTTATAACATAATTAGTTGTAAAATAAAGAAGCTCAATGTTTGGGAAACAATATTTTTAAAAATGCTGTTAGTATAAAAAACAATGTCAAAATTGTTTGATATTTTTTAATATAAAACGGTTGTAAATATGAATAATGACTAAAATAGACATGATGTTGAAAGTATTATGCGCTAATCATGTGGTGGTAGTGGTGGTGGTGGTGGTGGTGGGGATGGCGGTTGTGGAGGTGGAGGTAGAGGTAGTGGTGGCGGAGGTTGAGGAGGAGGTGGTGGTGGCGGTACTGGCGATCGGTGGTGGTGGTGAAGGTGGTGGAGTTGGATGTGGAGCTGGAGATGATTTAGTTTTTTAAAATTCATGATGATATTTTGGGAATTAAAATATTTCATTGAAGGCTCATCTTTGCTTTTTTTGAAAGAAGCTTTGAAAAACAACACAAAGTCTGCTTTTAAAAGCTGCTGTCAAAAGGCCATTGCTTTTAAAATAATCGGAATATTTTATTTTTACCAAACACCTTAAACTGCTTAATTTTAAAGTAAAGCGGGTTTTTTGGGAAAAAAAACAATCCCAAACAGGGCCTAAGTCTACCAACTTGCATAAGTCGCTTTCCTCCAGCCATAGTTAGGTTAAATCTCCATATCATGGGCTTTGTTCACCGACTTGACCATTTCCACAATTGCTAGCCACATGCAGTTGTTTGCTACATATGTTGTTTGCTGTTAAGCTACATGTGCAACATATGTGTTTATTGTTGAAAACAAATCATTGCAGAAGAATCCTCAATAATGCTATGGATATCTATTAATGCATGTGCGTCGTAGATATCATCCATCATTGATGCCAGCGCAATTACTTTTGTAAGAAAATTTCTTGCTCCGACGTATTGGGGTTCAAATCAAAGTATACTCCGACTACCCAAAAGTACAACTCCACGATCCCGACTCTTGCAAAAGGCAGCTTTTTTTCAAAGTCTACTTCTTTCCACCACCTAATGAGCAATAACGTTATCTGTATGTGTAACTTGAGTATATATGCTCACATTTACAATTAAAAGAGAGACTTACCTATTAATCTCACTGAGCTCCTTTTTAACACTTAGATGAAATCAGTTTTAATGGCTAGGATGACATTGATTAATAAGACTCCTCTCTCCCCGTAAATTTCATTTGTTTTTTTTTAAAATTGCTTTTTTTTTTTTGTCAATCTTTTTATTTTTAACCCTTATTTGAGCTGTTAATTTTTGGTCGATGTTGCCCCTATTAGTCTTTTGTTTTTCCATTCTTCTTGTTCTGAGGGATACTACCCATTTCAGTTCTCAAACAAAAAGGAAATTCTTTCATAAATAATAGAATATATATTCCTTAAAGTCCATCTCATGAATTCCACACAATCCAGTTGTGAAAGATGCTGAGAGCGGATCGAAAGCTGAACAACAAAGAGTGAAAAGTAGGGCAGATTAAGGCTAAAAGTCACTTTTGGTTCCTATAGTTTGGCACTTCAATAACTTTTGACTCTATAGTTTCAATTCTGTCAATTTTGACCTTATAGTTTCATATTTGTAGCAATTCAAGGACAAGTTAGTATTCCTGTCAATTTCTTTGACGGTGGAAGGGGCAATATCGTCAACCCAAAATCCTTGAGCATAAAAGCTCATATGAAACTCCCATAATTTCATATTAGGGCTCAAAATTCAACCATTAATCCTAATTTTGGTGTAAAAGCTTGTCTGAAATTCTCCTAATTTCATATTAGGGCTCGAAATTCAACCAATAATCCCAATTTTTGAAGAACCCTAAACCCAAATGACCAATTTCAAGCCCTAATATGAAATTATGGGAGTTTCAGATGAGCTTTTATGCTCAAGGATTTTGAGTTGACGAAATTGCCCCTTCCACCGTCAAAGAAATTGACAGGAATACTAACTTGTCCTTGAATTGCTACAAATATGAAACTATAAGGTCAAAATTGACGGAATTAAAACTATAGGGTCAAAACTGGTTGAAGTGCCAAATTACATGGACCAAAAAAGACTTTTGGCCTTAAAGAAATAAAAAACCAATTTTTCATTAATCTCAGCCATTGAAAGTGCCTTAATCTAATGGCTTAGAATATGTGTCAAAATTCGTGTTAAAAAATGTGTTCCCGATCCTGACCCTATATATAGAGCTTCTATTGAGGGATCCCTTAAATAAACTTATTTGAGGGACACCTTTGTAAGGCCCACTCT